CCCCGCCAGCAGCAATCAACAACAGACAAACTCTATGGAGCTTGCGGTCTGAAGTATGATAGCGGATAAGACAATAGATAGAATGAGAGAAGACAAAAAGAAAAAAGGGTAATACGAAACGAATTTACACAAATACAATTGTGTCTGTTTGTTTTGTTTCACTTAATGGTGAGGACTAAAAAGACTGAAGTAAGAGAAGTGACACAAGATGTGCTGAAAGAGTTCCAAGTCTAGAGCAGGAAGAGAGAACAAGGAGAGACTTATTTAGAGTGGTCTGGATTGCACTTAAAAGGTTCTTATCTTCAGTGGGATCCATTTCATCTCTCACTTGAGCAGTCCTTCCATTCATGCTGCAGATGTTTATTCCCCTGTGAGAAGGGTTCACACAAGACTTTGGGTCACCAATTTCCTTGTTTATAAGTCTGCCTGGTTTACTCATGAGTACGTTTATCCATATTAATTGCAAGTAAGGAGACAGAAGTGGGGCAAGCTTGCAGCAGTGGTATTGGCCCAAGGGGAAAATGTTGGGGTGAAAGTTGGAGAGATGAAGGGAGGTAACCCCCCTTTTCCCCACCGTTCTCCTCAGCCAGGGCTCTGCTGAGGCTGCAGTGCCTTGAGGGGGAGGAGCTCACGGAATCAACATACCATCCTTCCATGCCTTCTCTCATGACCATCATTTGATGGGTCACAGTGGCTTTCCTTTTTTCTTTCATTATTAAATAAAGCTAAGTGGCATGCATAAAAAAAGTGGCAAAAGCAATGCATCAGCCCAGCATGGTATTAAAATTATGCTGTGTCAATTGAGGTAAGATTTTTTTAAAAGATAAAAATGAAGAAGATCATGGGGTTGTCACTTCTAATAATACTGATCACAGCTTCATTTGGGTGCAGACTAGCCATCTGCACAGGCTACACAATGGGATAATTAGGAACACGTGAAAAAAACAAAAGCCCCAGCATTGTGCCAGAAAGGAGCAGGATTGTTCCGTGTGGATGAATGCAGTTTTATTCAAACCAAAGCATTTCAACAGCAAGCCAAATACCCATCTGGTCAGGCCCTATATTAGAGTCTGAGAGCTGAAACACAAAGGATGTTACTGCCAAGGAAAAGCCATCTTCTTTTTTCCTTTTATTTTTTTCATTGTCCAGCACTTGCTGGTTCTTAATATTATTCCTCTAGCTTTGATACTTTGTATATTGCTAGTGATGGAAAAACTAATCTCAGCAACATTCCCCAGATAATTTGTGCAGGTTACGAATACAGCAGTTCAGATTAAACTTCTGTGTTTATTAGATTTTGAACTATCTTCAGATTTAAATTTTCATTAACATAAGGTGGTCCAAGGGCTTTTTATCCAGTATTTTCTTCATTTCCTTTAACTTCTTTAAAGGTAGAGAGATTAACAAGCATAACTCTTACTCTCTGCTATCAAAACAGGGATGAAATTATACTTCAAAATAGTCCAACATTATCATGTAATAGGATGAATTGTAACATGATTAAATGTGGCATAGACAATGTAAGAGAGGAATTTTTCAATTATTTTTTTCTACTAGCCCACTGAAAATTATATTTTTATTATGGTGTGAGGGTCCCCATACCCACCATGGGCAAGGGGACATCAAAAGAGCCTGCAAGATTGGTCATCACAACTTCTCTGCAGTAAACTCAGAACTTTATTCTAGAACTGCGTCTAACAGAGCAGTTGATTTCACTGTCTACTCTCCTTCCATAGTCTTGGCTTCCCGAGGTCCTTGTCTCCTCCAGTTGGGTGGTTAAATCTCACATCCTGCTACTTCAGTTCAAGTCCTCTGGGTAGTTCTACTCACTCCCAGTCTCTTGATGTCCTTGTTCCCTCTTGCTGTCTTAATTGGTACAAATATCTTTTTCAAGCTATGGCAGTTTCTTAAATGGATGCTCATCTTTCCAGAGTGTCAGTTGGATTGGAGATGGGGTCAGTGTAGGTAGGGTTGAGCCAGACACCGCCAGAGGTGGCCCAGTCTATCCCACTGTAGACTCAGTATCAGACCAGTCTAGAAGTCCTCAGGCCCAACCTCAATGGGTCCATCAGGTACTGGAATATGTGGAATGGTGCTCTGGGTGACACCAATATACCCATAAAAGGAGAGAACCTCTGGGCCCCAGTGACCCTCCAATTACTCTAGAACACCAGCTCGTATGTCTTCCCCCTTTTTTTCATCAGTAGCCTCTTTTAGCAGCTTTTTTTTCCATTTTATATTACCCTTTCCTTCTTTTCATAAGGTTCTTCCCCTTTCCTGCATTTAGGAACTCATCAGTTCTGTGCAGCCTTGGAAGCAGTGCTCACTGAGGACTAATCCCATCAAGTAGTACCCTTTCTGTTGAGCTTTTTATCTCATCCTCTACAGGTCACATTCTGTAGGAGATGAAAAGAAAATAAACTGGGTTTTTCCTTCCTTGCCTTGTTTTTCATGTGGCCAAACAAATCTGAGCAAGGACTCTTCTTTTTGTGGGTGATGGAGGAGAGTCTGCATTTCTCCATACAGCAGACAGATCTGCATAGCTGCTGATGCAAGAGATAGATTTACCTGTGCACACACCACTTTTGACAACCTATCACCTGTTCTTTACAGATTCTGTCCACACATTCTGTTCTATGTAACAGTGATCCCAATCACTGATTGGTGTTCTTTCTTTCCTTCTGCATTACTTACATCAATGGCTGTCAGCCTTTAATTTTTTTTTCAAGTGGCTTGGACTTCAACTTCCAGAAGTCCTAGCCAACATGAACAGTGGTCATGGGTTGTGGGAGCTGAAGTTCAAAATATTTGGAGGAACAAAGGTTGATTATTGCTTTAGATAATCTAGTCATGCAATTCCGCAGCAAGCAGTGGTTTCTGGGGGGGAAAAGTGTGTCCTTCCATGAACTCTGCTACCTCTGCTGATTTCAGTAATAGAAATCTGTGGCTAGAAATCTCTTTGCTCTATAAGGCAGTGTTCTATGCACAGACATCCAGGACCTTAAAAACAACATTTTAAATTAAAAACCATAAAAGTCCTCTTCTACTTTATACATTCATACTATAATTACTATCCTTGCATATTTTACTTATTTTCCCTCTGTTGTGTAAATAGATTTTCCCCCAACGCCTTTCTGCTCCATATTTCCCTATTTTCATCATATAGCTTTTAATTTCCATATGTTTCCTGGGGTAAACAATCAGTGTATTAACTCTGATAAATGCCCAGAGCTTTTCTCTGAGTAGAAAATGCAATTTGCATGGAGATAGCTATTAATTCATGCATTAACTTGACATCAGAGTGAGGATTGAAAGACAAACCTATACAGCCCAGGCATATAGCTATGTAAATAAATGAATGCAACGGGGCATGGTTTCTGGGGGCCATTTCTTCATAGAGCCATAATGTTTTGCTAACACTGTATGAATATTATTATGGTTCTACAGGCAAATCTGTTGCTTTAAAATATAGTTCACTTGCGCAATAGCATAAAGGCAATCACTTAAGTTTTTCTCCCTTGGGGCAGGCTTTCCTTGACACAAATGGGTATGCTGTGGTTGTGAAATAGATCATGCCACCAATTGTGTGAAGGACAACAAACCAGAGGGACAGGAAATGCTGTGCAGTTTCCCATATGCATACTGTATATAAAACCTGAGTTGTATTTTGGCCTTAGCATTTAAGAATCAGTCTAGTAAGTGTGCTTGCAAGAGCTGAGCAAGGCTGTTAATGAGAAGGTATTTTAGAGGTCACTCATTTCTAGGATTGCTATGGGTCAGAGGTGATTTTATGGTATATAACAACTTGCAAGTGTGTAACAGAATATTTGTATATTTTTCTGTTATGTAGGTAACCAATGAACCTCCTAAAGGTCTAAGGGCAAACATCAGACGGGCATTCACTGAAATGACAGCTTCCTTTTTTGAAGAAAATATCTTGGGGAAAACATGGAGAAAAATAATTTTTGGCATTTGCTTTTTTCATGCAATAATCCAGGTGACAATCATTAGCAACCATTAGTTTCATATATGTTGCACTAATCAGAAAGCAGTTTATAACCATATTTATAACTGTGTAGATATGGATCCTGCTGTTCCTCCAAGGTCTGAGTAGCAGCATCCATGGGAACTGTTGTGGCCTCCTTAGTGGAGATTCATTACTTTCAGGATAATGTCTCTTCCTGCCACATACAAAAAGGATCAGTTCATCACTGCTTAGAAGAAGGGCTGCCATGAAAAACCAAAGCAACCAATGACAACACAACACCAAAACCAAGAAAGAAATGCTCCTGGTGCTCTTCTGTTTCTCAGCAACTGCAGTGTGACTCAATCTGACAGAAGCAACCACTT